AAATTACTTAGTTCAAAGCCCATTTGAGGCTATGCATCAAGAATGATATACATTAAGGGTGGGGTTAAGAGAAAAGCAATTACATGAAACAAACGTGTTTTTGCCACAAATCTCCTGTGTGCTAGTCAAGATATATAACCGTTGCCTAATTTAAAAAGAAACCAGGACAACTCCCAGAGATATATACCTGCATCTGGTCAGTCTTTTAATAAGGCCACTTTCTGTTTGAAGTTTGGATGTGAAGATGGAGAAAAAACATTTCTCTCTCTCTCTCTCTCTCTCCCCCTCTCTCCCCCTCTCCCTCTCCCTCTCCCTCTCTGATTGCACAATGCATGTGGTCCAGGGAGAAAAAAAGTGAGTAGGATTCTGATTTTGAGCTCTCATAAAAGATAAAACCAAAAGTTGCTTTGTGCTAAACACATTCAGATAGGGCAAGAAGAAATGGCCTGAGGTTAAAGATTGAAAGATTTAAATTAGATATGAGGAAAATTGTTGGATGGCATAGTCCTTTCTAGTTATGTGACTATAATGGCCTATGATTGAATCATCCTAGTGACTGAGATACAACTCTTATCTTCATTAATCTGATACAAAGCTTGACGAGTCACCTGAGAACAGTCAAATGATCCATCCAAATCCACTTGGTTTAGATAGCTTTGAGTCAGACACATCTGAAAATGACTGAACAACAACATAGATGGGATACATAGAAAATAATTAACAGAGGGAAGGCACTAGACTTAAGAGTAGGGTGGGAAAGGCTTCCTGGAGTATTACTGCTGGAAGGATGATCTCCATTCTACAAATACTAGTGAAGATAGATTTAAAGATGCATTAATATGAAGTATATTTTGTGTCTAGTTCCCCAGAAAACTAATACACCCACTCACACACAGAATTTTAGAGTAAGAAGGGATTTCAAAGAGCATCTAGTCCTATTTGTCTCAGAATGCAAATCCTCTCTACAATATTCCTGACAAATGGCTCCAGGGATTAGCTTCTGACTCAGTCATTTATTAGCTCTGTGATTTGGGGCAAGTCACTTAAGCTTTACTTATTGGTAAAATGAGGGAGTTGGGTTGGATTGCCTTTAAGCACCCATTAATCCTAAATCTATGATTCTGTGATACTGTGGTTATAGAGGTACCCATACCGGCTCTTGGATACCTCTAGGGATGAGGGCAGCTAGACGATGCAGTAGATAAAGTGCTGGGCATGAAGTCAGGAAGACCTGGGTTCAGATCTGGTTTCAGACACTTAGTAGCAGAGTGACCCTGGGCAAATCCCTTAATCCTGTTTGCCTCAGTTTCTTCCACTAGAGAAATGGCAAACCATTCCAGTATCTTTGCCAAGAAAACTCTAAATGGGATCACAAAGAGTCAGACAGGACTGAAGATGATTGAATAACACCTCTAGGGATGAGGAACCCTAGAACTTCCTCATGAGGTAGCGCGCTCTACTTCAGGATACTTTCAACTGTTAGAGAGTGTTTGCTTGCATCACACCAAAATCTGCCTCTGCAACTTCTGCCGATTGTTCCTGGTTGGTTCTCTGTGGCCAAGATGAACAAGTCTATCCTTCTTACATATGACAGCCTTTCAAATACTTGGCTACTGTCATGTTCCCCCTGTCTACCCGTGCTCCCTAAGGAGTGTTGTGAGGCTTAAATGAGATAGCAGATGTAAGGCATTTTACAAATCTTAAAGCATTGTATAAATGCTTTATTGTTATCATTATTATTAAGTAGTCAGCAGGGTTCAGTCTGGAGATGATTTTATTCCCTAGGGCCTTCTTCTGAACTCCTACAATGTTTATAGAACAATACAGTAAATGTTTAACAAAGGGAGGGTGGGAAGGAACTTTTAATTTTAATCTATAACATTTAAATTTAATTGGCATTAATTAATTAATTAAGGCTTTTTTAAGTCTAGACAACCAACAAAACAATAAACCAAGCCCTGATTTGTAGTGGATTAGTGAAGGGTAAACGCTCAGCTGAAAATTTAACAAATAGCAAGTAAGTTAGAGCTGGCTCCAGCACACCTCTGCTTCCCTCCCTTCCTGTACTCTCTTTTGCTGGCTTCTTGTTGTTCAGCTGTTCAGTCTTGTCTAAGTCTACATGGCCCCAGTTGGGTTTTTCTAGGCAAAAATACTACAGTGGCTTGCCATTTCCTTCTCTAGTTGAGGAAACTGAGGCAAATACAGTGAGTGACTTGCCCAGGGTCACCTAGCTAGTAAGTATCTGAGCCAGATTTGAACTCAGGCCTTCCTGACTCTAGGCCCTGGTATGCCCTTCCTGATGGCTAACCAGCTTCATGTTTATCCACTGATCATATGAGTGGTCTTTCATGTTCATAACATGCTTGTTTGTTTTAAGGAAGACTAAGAAAACTTGCTTCAATCACTACATTTAAGGTAAATTAATTTCAAAGTACTTATTCTGGAGAAGAAGCTATTTTTACTAAAGGCAAAAAAGCAGCCAGTGCAACATTGTCTTTTGTTTTTCTTTTGTTTTTAAATGGAGAAATGCTGCTTTGACCGCATGTAAATGATGCTGTGAGAAGTGGTTCTTCATGACGGATAGATTACTGGCTTTGGAGTCAGGAAGACCTTGTGCTTTGGGTTCAAGTTCTTCCTCTGATGCACTGACTCACGGCATCTTTTTTCTTTAAATAAAATTTTTACTTATATCTTTTGTTTTTACATTGCCTAAATTTCCCCGTGTCATTCTCATCCCCCATCCTATCCCATATAACAAAGGATGTTTTTAAAAGAAAAAATAAAGATAAGGAGATTTCAAAAATCATTAAAACTGATTAATGCACTGAAAAAATACCTGAAAATATACACAATGTTCTACACCTGTGGACCTCACATCTCCATAAAGGAGTGGAGATGGAGGACGTCTCCTTCCATGTCTCCTCCTTAGGGCCATGCTTATTCTCTGTAATTTTGGAATATTCACTTCTGATTGTTTTGTATGTGGTGATTCTTTCCATTTAGATTGCTGTAAGCATTGTGTATATTGTTTTCATGTGCAGCTAGATGGTGTAATGGATAGAGTACTGGGCCTGGAGTCAAGAAGACTCATCTTCCTGAGTTCAAATCTGGCCTCAGACACTTATTAGTTGTGTGACCCTGGGCAAGTCACTTAACCTTTAAAAAAATTAATTTATTTATTTTTAGTTTTCAATATTCACTTCCACAAGATTTTGAGTTCCAAATTTTCTCCCCATCTTTCCCCTTGCCCCACCCCAAGACTTTGTGCATTCTGAATACCCCTTCCCCTAATCTACCTTCTCTTCTATCTCCTCCCCTTCTCTTATCTCCTTCCCCTTTTATTTTCCCATAGGGCAGGATAGATTTCTATACCCCATTTCCTGTGTATCTTATTTCTCAGTTGCATGTGAAAACATTTTTTTTTAAATTTTGAGGCAATGGTGGTTAAGTGAGTTGCCCAGGGTCACATAGCTAGTAAGTGTCAAGTGTTGGTCTGAGGCCATATATAAACTCAGGTTCTCCTGACTTCAGGGCCAGTGCTCTATCCACTAGCTGCCCCTATGTGTGTGTGTGTGTGTGTGTGTGTGTGTGTGTGTGTGTGTGTGTGTGTGTGTGTGTGTTTCATAGTGGCAGAGATCCTCTTCTAGGAAGTAAGGAAGGCAAAGGCTTACTCACCTCCTCTCAGTGTGATAAAAGCCCACCTCTCTCTCCCTCTGTACAAAATACAAATTTTCTTTTTACAATTTTATGACACTAACAGAAATAGAGATACCCTGATGTGGTGTGAGAGACAGTAAGTTGTGAAAGGTTAAACTAGAATGGAGACTTCACTGCTTCATAGGTATCATGGCAGTTTAACCAAAAGATTTTGTTCTCTCCAACCTCAAAAGCAAACAAACTAACGAACAACAGCAAAAAAAAAAAAAAAGATTAAAGAAACCCCAAAGCACCATTCTTTCAGGTGGCAAATCTTAATATGCTGTAATTGGATTTGGAATTTTTCAGTTAATCTGTTCTACTGCCACTTATATAGAACTCTATCTTCCATGAGTTAAAATTCAGTTTGGCACTTAATATCAATTGGTTTGTGATGTCTGAGTGGATTAGAAAGAACGTTTCATGAAAATAATCACTCTAAATAGTTTAATCTATCAGATAATCAACAAATACTATTGAGTATCTATTTGTGTGTAAAGAACTATACTAGTCACTGTGGGGGATACAATGAAACATTTTAAAAAATGATTCCTTCACTTGAGTACTGTAGCGTCTATTAGAATTGTTTCATACACATACAAAATTAACTAAACACAAGGCAGGTTTTAAGAGCCAAATAATCCTATGTTTACTTATAATTGGATCTGAAAATTAGTGTTAAATGACATCAAAGAGACAGAAAAAGATTGCAATGAACTGGGTTAGTCAGGGAAGGCTTCCTGGAGGAGGCAGGATCTGAGCTGAGCTTTGAAGGATGGCTAGGATTCAGATGCATGTAGGTTAACAAAGGATTTTTTTCCTTTTTTAATTAAACTTTATTTTCAATCCACATTTTTTCCATCCTACTTCCCCCTCATCGAGAAAGCAATAAAAACAAAACCCTTGCTACAAACAAGTGTAATCAAGCAAAACAAATTCTTATGTTAACTATATCATACTTGTTTTGTTGTATTACATTTTATATGCCATTTGAGTCAATCACCTCTTTATCAGGAAGAGGGTAACATGTTTCATCATGAGTCCTCTGGAATTGCAGGTGATCATTCTGTAAGTCAGTTTACTAAGATTTTCATAGTTGTTTGTGTTTACAATATTGTTGTTATTGTATAAATTATTTTCCTGAGATAATGTTTGTAAAAGACTCTTAGCACAATCTCTGGCACATAGTGAGCACTATATAAATGCTTATTTCCTTCCTTTCTCTCTTGGCCCTGCTCATTTCACTCTGCATCAATTCATATGTCTTCCCATATTTCTCTGAATCTCCTTCATCATTCCTTACAGAACAAGACTACCATGAAAGGAATTTCACATGGAAAGAATGGTGAGCAAAGGCACAACACATATCTGGGGAATAATGAATAAGCTGAAGGACAGAGAGTGGAAGATCTGAAATAGGAAGTAGAGGGAAAGACTTTGGAAAGAGAGGCTTAAGCTAGATTGAGGAAGCCCTTGAATTACTTATTAAGGCAACTGAAGTTTATCCTGTAGCAGTGAGGAACTAGTGAATGAAGGCTTTTCGAACAGGAGAATGATATGATTAAAGTAGAATTTTAGAAAAAAGTAACCTGGCTATAGGGTATAGATAGATTAGAGAGAGAAAAATGCAGGAGCCTGGTAATCTTTGGAGGGGAGAGGAGGAAGAGGAAGAAGGAGGGATAGAATTTGGAACTCAAAACAAAAAAAAGTTGAAAAAAATTTTAACATGTAATTGAGGGAAAATATGCATATATAAAAATGAAAATGAAAAATTAATACTGTCATGCTTAATGGCGGCTACTTGGTTTAAATAAAGGTCTGATCTCTCACCCCCCAAAAAAATTGCTTTCACAAAAAAGGGTTCATTGGGAAGGATAACTGTGATGTAAAGACAAAGGCATCAATAAAACATTTTTAAAAAAGAAATAATAAAAACATAAAGCGATAAGGCATTGAATTTGAAATATGAAACATGAAACAAAGCAATTTGTGCAAAACCCTTGTCCTAGTGAGATTTTTTAAAAGTGTATCTGACTTTGAATGAAGTAGTCAAATTTTTAAGCTTATCAGGGCACTTGAGGCTGCTGTTATGGAAGATGACTAATGTCATGATTGTCATGCTTATGAACATGTCAGCTTTGCCCCAGAAATCTAAGGAGGTGGTGACAATAGCCCATAAAAGTGACCTGTTTTTATAAGGTGGTTGATCTCTGTGCAAGGCTGCATGCTAAGCCTTAGGAGGCAAAGAAAGAAACAGTACCTGCTGTCAATGAGCTCACAGTCTGATGGAGGAGACAACACACAGACAACTATGTACAAACTATATACAAGATCGGTTGGAAACAAACAACGCAGGGAAGGCTCAAGAATTAAGGGGAATCTAAAATATCAGTATATGATCAAATGTATATTTTTATAGGATACTTTTCAAGTGGTAGAGCTCAGATACCAAGTACTCTGGTGAGGAGCTGAGGACTCACAGGGCCTCTGCATTTTGCATTGCATATAATACAGAACAATTAGCAAGCAGGCTCTGGGAACTGGTGGTGGAGCTTAAGAAAGGGATTTATAATCCATATATCTTCATGTAATTATCTAGCCCAAATGGCCATATTTGAATTTTGTGGGGAGCTGAAGAATTTAATTTACGCTCTGTAGGATTCTCCTATTTCCCCCAAATGAACTAAATTCAACTTTACTTAATTATTCACAACTCCCAGGGGGCTATATTTTTTCAGCTGGTCCCTCATACTCAGCTATAGGGCCTGAGGAAAGGATGGGTGCAAAGTTAGCTAAAGCTCTCAGTGAGATGGGTCTTGGCATTTGTTTCTCTGTTTTGATATTGGGGCTAAGCCAGGTCTCGGGGGATCAAAAAGATTCCCTATCTAAGGGCACTGGGCTGCAAAATATGCTTCTTCCCCTTCTTGCCAACTGAAACCCAGGGGGACAGACAGCTGTTGTACAGCAACTGGCTATAAACCTAATCATCAGAATTTCTCAGAAAGAAGTTTTAAGTTCCTGGCTGATTTTATTCAATGTTCAAACAATAAAAGAATTTTTAATATATATACACATTTTGGAGTCATTAAAACTTCCTGCCCATTGATTTCCATTTTTACTCTTAAAGATACATTGGATCCAATTACCTGCCAGAGCACTTGTTCTTGAAAAAACTAGATTATGTGTTCTGTCCACACAAAGTAAGGTGAACAGATGAGTCAATTAGCCTGGTAATTAAAGCTAGGACAATTGCTGCTGAGGAAAAAGGTTCTGTTTGTTTTTTAGTTGAAGTTCCCCAGGTTGGTCACTGACTTTGATCACATACCCATAACTTTGCACATGAAGAAACAAAGTTTCAGGTTATTTTTTAGAGTTGGCATCACAACGTCAGGTTTCCAAAAGGGTCCACTTTTAGTTTCTGTGATATAAAATCCCAGATCACATCCCTTGAGGGAAGAGATATATTGCTCCCATCCATAGGCCCTGTAAATCTTTTCTCAGGTGTAACTCCACTAGAGATAGGTGGGGAGGATTATTCGCATCCACTTAGCGAAAACTGCCAAGAAGCTAGAAGAAAGTGAAATAATGGACAAAAGATATGTAGGTGGAAGGAAAACTAAAGTTTCCTTTAGTTAGGTTAGGAAATGAAAGGAGTTAGATGAAGGGGAACTGTAAGGGCAGAGGATAAGAGGAAGGTTAAGAGAGTAGCTTTCCCCCCAAAAAAAACAGCATTGGAGATGGAGATACAATATACATGGAAACATAGAGTGCTGCAAGTTTTATCATTGGATACATTTTTCATTCTCAATATTATAATAAATTTCTTAAAATCACAGATTCCAGAGTTGAAAGGGACCACAAAGGTGAATTAGTTCCACCCTTAAACAAAATATAAATCTTGTCTACAATATTGCTGACAAATGTTACTGTTTGAACAGGTCCATTAATGGGGGGAATCATCTACCTCCTGAGGTAACATACTCCATTTTTGGATAATGCCAGTTTTAAGGAAGTTTCTTCCCTTATATTGAATTGAAATCTGCCTTTCTGTAAATTGTATCCACTGTTCCTAGTCCTGCTCTAGCAGGCCCAAAAGAACACAGCTAGTAAGTATCTGAGGCCGGATTTGAACTCAGGAAAATGAGTCTTCCCGACTCTAGGCCTGGCACTCTTATCTACTGTGCCACTTACATGCTAAATTACAATAACTAGCTCCTGTTAAGTTGAGGATTAATAGCAAGGCTCCTCAGGTTTATCAGGTATGTGTAATTGCCTCCTCTTCAGCTTTGAGGAGTTTATGTTAGGAAAAACAATAGAGGTACTGTCACAATTACTCTGATTCCCTAGTTATGAAAATTCCTAACATTTAGGCAGAGTTTAGCTCTCTGCCTTAATTTACACTCCTATTTATCTCTAGTAAACCCTTCCATCTTTGTGGCTGAGGCAAAATCCAGGTTACCATTAACATTTTGGTAAAGTATCTGTTGGTTTGGTAGAGTTTCTGTTGATAAATACTGGAAGAAGTTGGAGAAAGAGAAGACTTTTCTTGGAACTTCCCTCAGCTCTTGAAAAGGTGTGTTCAACATATGGAATCAGTGCCAATCTTCTGCTCTGAGGTGCTTTTAGAATTTATGACCCTCTTTGATGTCACCCTTCGGCACCACAGCTCAGGCCTACTTTCCTTTTCCTCTTTTGCTGGTTGCTCCTGGGTTTCTGATTTTTTCCAGCTCATGTTTGGTTATCCCCACTCCTTTTTCTTTTCTGCTAATCTCTTGAAATCTCTCTATATACATATGGTGATCAAAGGGACAACATATATTTGGGAAAGAGAAAATAGATTAGAGCAATGATTAAAGATGTCAAGAATTCTGTGCTGCAACCACATAGTTTACCATTGGAGGGAGAAATGGAAAGACGATGCTATGGTCAGCCATGTCCCTCCCCTCTGACTCCTCATAGGAGTCAGAAAATAGGTAAAGACAGGTAAATTAGGACAGCTTATTGTCTCCTAGAAAACACTGGAGAAAATCTGAAGTGTCAGTCTCACCAATAGGTACCTGCCCTTCTGGGTCAGATCAACACCAGAAGTCTCTGAGGTGTCCCAAGCTCTGTGCTGCAGTGTATCTGCCACTCCAAAGACTCCTAAACTTGAGCCTGGCCAGAAGGGATTATGACTTTCACTTCAATTTAAGACATGCCCCCCCCCCCAGTTTGTGATGGCAACTTTCTTATCCTTTTTTGCTTTCCTTCTCTCTTTTTTTTTTCTAGCTTTCACAAGTCCCTTCAGCCCTAAGAGCAAACCAAAACTCTGGAGTCAAAGAAGGGGATACTGGGAAATCCTACAGGCTTCCACTTCTAGCATCATGATCTCCTTGGCAGTGTTGGAAGAGGCGGGGCTGAGGCACCTACACTGGTAAAGCTAGTATGGGGGAGGAGTTTGGGGAAAGGAGGAGAATTCAGGGGATTGGGATGGGGGCAGAGTCAGTGAGAGAGTGGGCAAATACCCAGGGAGAGGGGGAAAGTCAGTTGCTGTTGTGATACAGATGAAAAGCTACCTTCGGGAAAACTTCCTGTCCTCTTTATCACTTACCAAGAATGGGAAACTAACCCAGAAGTTGAAGATATGAAGCATGGAAAGGGAGTTTGAACAGAAAAAAAAGGGGCAGCCTGGGCCAAAACGGACACAGCTAATTCTGAGGCTAAGTCCATGTTGAGTTAAACATTTCAGTGTCTTTTTGGGCCTTCGGAGACCATTCCTTTAATTTTAGAATTTTTTCAAGAATACAAATTGAACTCACTCTCCTGTGATTTGCAGACTACACTTTTATATTCTTTGACAGGAAGGGGAAAGAATTGTGAGATTTGCCTTTCTCCAGTCCTGTGGCACTTTTCCAATTTTCCACTAACTTTGGATAGAGCATCGATCCTGGAGTCAGGAGAACCTGAGTCCAAATCCAACTTCAGACATTTGACACTTACTACCTATGTGACCTTGAGCAAGTCACTTAACCCTGATTGCCTTGACCCCTCCCCCCCAAAAAAAGTCATTGACTGAGGCTCAGCAGCTATAGATGCCAGTTCTTTCAGCACTTCAGGGTGGAATTCTTCCAAATCTGGTGACCCGGAGTCATTGAGGGCAGCAAGACATTGTTGTATCATCTTCTCACCCATCTTAGGCTTCCACTCTCTCTCTGCTTGCCATCCTTCCCAGCTTAAAGATCAATCTCTTTAGAAGAGAAATGAGATGCAAAACATCAGCTGAGTAGTTCAGCCTTCTCATGTCCACCCCTTCTCATCTTCCTGTCGACACTGAAGTGTTGTTTCATCCCTCTTCTGAACCTCCTCTTGTAATCATAATAAGCCTCCTTTCATTTTCCTCATTATTCACTGTCAGCTCATCTAGGCTTAATGCTCCTGACCCTCTTCTCATAAGACTGTGCTAATTGTTTGTGTTCATCCTCCCTTGTGTTGGATTTCTTCCTTTATATGCACCTTTTACTGGTCTGAGTAGGTCAATGACCTCCTCACAAAGCCTCACTGGTCTCTTTAGTCAGCTTTCTCTTTACCATCTCTTTACAATCATTTCCACTTATGTCTTCAGAATGTCGTTCTTTAGTTTCCCATATCTCTTGAACTGCCTCCCCTGAAGAATATTAGGCCCTTAGATCCCACTTATTCTTTCTTTGAACCCTTTGAAATCTGCTTGCCTCAAATTGAGAATGCCCACCAGATTTTGCCAGGCTTTGCATCTGTCCTTCATAAACTGTATGATGCCCCCAGGGTTCTAGCCATTTCTTTTTCCAGCATCTGGTTCTGTTTTATTGACGAGGATGAGGTTAAGAATAGCAATTCATCATCAGTTCTCCTTTTGAGTCAATCGATCAACAAGCATTGATTAAGCACTTGATTTGCGTCATACAAGGTGGGATAGAAAGACAAGACATGAGATAGTCTCTACTCTCAAAGAACGTGAAGGATGAAAGTATCATTGGATCAAGTCACTGATGCATCAGCTGCTTTGTCTTTGGCAGAGATCTTTAACAGTTGAAGTCTCCCATCATTACAATATCATATTTCTATGCTAGGTTTGTAATGTTTCCCAAATTCCTCATCTAATTCCTCCTTCTGTCTAGGTGCTCTATAGCAAATCCACCTGGCAATATCACTTTTATTTCTCCTTTCATTGACCTTCCACTAAATAGTGTATATTATATTTATTTCCTTAGGATCCTGAATTTCCCTATATGAATGTATCTTATATTTGATAAAGTTTCTTAACTATTCTGAGAATATGAAAATTATAGTTACAGTTCAAAGTGAAGAACTATCAAAATCTAGGGAACAAACACGGCTTTGAATCATATTTCAGCCATGTGCTCAGACAACCCAGTTTAGCTTTAACATCACTTTAAGTCAACAAGCTCTAATTAAGTGCCAAATTATGCATAATTTAAAATGCCAGTAAAAAGCTGCTGATCCAATAAAGTTCCTTCTGGCTCAGAATCAAAAGTCAAGGGGAGGCTGGGGACAGGGTTTGTGCTTTGGTCAAGAGTTAGATGTGATTATAACTGATGTCCCTCCCAGCAATGGGATTCTATGATGCTCTGAAACCATCAATAGACATTTGTAAAGGATTAATGCAGGTGTTTGCCTCAGCTTACAATGGGCTAAGCATAGACTATCCCTAGGATCACAAACTATGAACTGGGGAGCATTGATTCCTTTGATGGAAAGAAAGAGAGAGAGAGAGAGAGAGAGAGAGAGAGAGAGAGAGAGAGAGAGAGAGAGAGAGAGAGAGAGAGAGAGAGAGAGAGAGAGAGGAAAGAAAGAAAGAAAGAAAGAAAGAAAGAAAGAAAGAAAAAAGAAAGAAAGAAAGAAAGAAAGAAAGAAAGAAAGAAAGAAAAAGAAAGAAAGGAAGGAAGGAAGGAAAGAAAGAAAGAAAAAGAAAGAAAGAAAGAAAGAAAGAAAGAGAAAGAAAAGAAAGAGAAAAAGGAAGGAAGGAAGGAAGGAAAGGAAGGAAGAGAAAAAGGAAGGAAGGAAGGAAGGAAATGAAGAAAGGAAGGAAAGAAAGAAAGGAGAATGGGAGGAAGGGAATGAAAGGAAAGAAGGGAAAGAAGAAGGAAGGAAGGACATACAGGAGGAATGGAAATGGAAGAGAAGGGAAAGAAAATGGATATTAGAGCTACTCTTTTATCCATAAACTTATGCAGTACAAAGAAGTGTTTCCCAGGCTCAACTGAGCTTCAATAGATCACATGAATCTCTTCATTCCCAGCTATAGCTTGTATTACTCATCTGACCAACATTTACAGGATTCTTTCATTCTTTATATATGTTTATATCATGACTCCATTTTGGGAAAGACTGCCCCAGCAAGCTCTCAAACGCATTACCCTGTATCAATCAATGTAAACACAATTCTACCAGCACCAAAGAAGATAACAAGATCTGAAAGGTCATAATGCTACCAGACATGTCATGAATAATCGCTGTAAATGCAACCCAGTGATTGTCAGTCTATGACAATTAAGGACCTAGGGGAAAACTAGCTGTTTGAATTTTTATATGTACCATAGTATGCTCTAAAGTGGCTTTAACTTTTGATTTTGGCTGCCAGGATCACTTTGGACCAGTATATGTCTTATTAAAGTTAGAAGAAACATGGCACAGAATGGAGAAAATACAAAAAAAAAAAAGAGAAAGAAAAGAAAGATCTGATTTTTATTTCTGACTATTCCAATAGTCTTATGCTTTAACTCTGTTTCTACTATGTAGCTCTCAACTTTCACCACAATACGCAAAGTACAACTCATAAAATTTGTATATGCAGGCATATCATGCATTAAAATTTATGGTCAATCAATCATCAAACATTTAAAAATACCTACTATAATCCAGACTAGGAGCTTTGTGCTAGGAGCTGGAGATACATATGTAAAAATGAGACAGTTCCTGCCCTCAAAGAGCTTACATTGTTAGATAAACATTTGTAGAGCTTTTAATTATAAAATTATGTGACTGATTTTTTTTCTTAAAAGAAAACACACCAAAATTGTATCACCAAATAAATTTTTCCTTTCACAGTAGTGTTTCTGAGAGGCCAGATATTTTCTCCAACAAAGCTTTCACTGCTCAAAACATTTTGCGAATCCATTTTTGATCATTGCTCTCAAGGCCTCAACAGTGGTAAATCTTTGGTTTTTGAATATTTAATTTTTGGAAAAAGCCTAAGCCCAACCAAAGACATTTGGTGTTTAAATCTAGTGAAAAAGGTACCAGGCAAAGGACAGTCAAAATGTCAAAAGCAAACCCTGTTTTCATAATTCCAGTGCTTATCAATGACCCCTGAAACAATGGCCACATCAATGGACTTCCAAAATGGCTACTTTGAAAGGAATAATACTCTTTTAGATGAGTTTCTTATATATTTGCTCTAAGTTTTTTTTTTGTAGTGTTCCATGGTGTAATGGAAGTAATGCTAGATTTCAAATTTGAATCTCAGCTCTGCTACTTACTGAATGTGTGACTTTGGGAAAATCAATTGGCTTGTCAGGGTCTTAGGTTCCTTCTCTGTAAAATCAGAAGGTTAAAAGATAGCTTTTAAATTCTGATCTTACCCTGAATGGCCCAATCAACCGTATGTGATCAAGAAAAATTTTCCAGTTTGGAGGCTACCTGGTCCCGCTCTTAGCTGCCTGTTTCCCTTATCCCTTAAAAGGTTCCAATGGCAAAAATGAAATGAAACTGAAAATACCTGAGTTTATTGTTCTTCTTCCTCCTTGGGTTTTACTCTGATGAGGGGGTTGGTTAACACAGGTGAATGTAACTATTAAGTAAATCACATTTGGTGATTATCCTTGGATCTCATTTTCTTGATCCCTGTAAGCCTCAATAATCAAGAGTTGGATGCATTCTTATGGGGATTTATTAGGGTTGGATGTTTTCCCACATTTTTTCACAGTAGTGTGTACCCCATTTAATGGATTTTGTTGCTGTTGCAAATAAATTAGAAAATTCCAGAGAAGGTACGCTAAATCAAATAAATTAACTTGCCATTGTCAAGTTTATTAATTCTACCACAAAGGTTTTTTACAAAAATGATAGGATTCATTGACAACTGATTAGCAATGCTTTGAAAGGCAAATTTCCCGAACTCTTCTCATCCCATCTCCAGTCAATAGAGCGGGTTCAATTGTCTTTCACATTTTAACAGAAATATGCTATGCTTAATGTTTTCTTAACATTTTCTTACTCACAAACCATTCCTTTTTTATGCTACCCAGGTAAGAACTTGGAAGTGAATATTAAACTACTATAACCACATTTTGGTGCTGATACTGCATTTTCCTGCTTTATGGTCTATGCTGAGCTGTTTGATTGAACAACAGTCTGCTGTTTAATCAAGGACCATGTGTTATTCTCTATAAGTGTACTGCATTATAAAAGGGAATATAAAATTAATTTCAGGATATATATGTTTAATTATGCAGCCTTGTGTTATGTATCTGAATCAAATTGTGCATTGCCTCTTCATGGCACAAAAATTCTCAAATTAATTTAAGCAATGAAGCTTTAGTTCCCTTTAAGGGAATGGGGTGGGGGGGGTGCAGCTTTACCCAAATCGAAATTCAGACCTTTCCACTCAGGTATTTTGTATTTCTCCTATTCAGTGTCTCTTGTAAGAAAAAAAATTATTGAAAAAATAGGATTTCAAGTGATCTAGCTTTGCTGTTTTTAGAGCCAGACAGCCCCCACTGGACATTTGAACATGTTGGTAGTTGGCCTCTGGTCCTCTGCTTGGGAACTGTGAGCCTTGCAAGCTTTTAGAAACCTAAACATTGCTCTAGTTATTGAAAATGGTGCCAAATTCATGGTATAATGGTTACATCTCTGGACCTGGAGTCAGGAAAACCTGGGTTCAAATCCTGCTTAGCTATATGACCCAGGGACTTTTAAGCAACTCAAAATTTCTGGGATTCAGTTCCTTATCTTTCAATGAAGATGTTGGCCTAGATGCTCTGCAAGTTCCTTTAAATCTACTATCCTGTGGTCAAATGTATTTCCCCAGGTGGCCCCAAAAGTAGATACAGATTTGATTCAAAAGGACCCGTTCAGTATGACATTAAACTCAAAAGTCCTTCCCCAAGTCCAAGAAACCTGTGAGGTAGGAAGACTGGTATCAAGACTCCCTGAGGATGTTTACAAGGGGAAATTCCTTAGAAGTTGCTCAGGCTCCTCTAAGGATATCTAGCAAGATATTTAGAAATCGATGACTAAGAAAATCTTTCCCTGAAGGTTTTGGGTTTTTTTGTAAGTCTTGATACATCTTCATCTGGGATGGTTTCATAATTTGACAAATATTTTTATTTAGCACCCTGAGTACAAGGCACTGGGGGTACAAGGATGACAGTAAAGAAACAGCCTTTCTGCTCTCAAGGACCTTAGAGTCTAGCAGTAATGACCTCTCGTGTGTGTAAATAAGTATGGATGCAAGGCAGAACAGGAGAAGGTCAAAGAGGAGAGGCAGACAAAGCATGAAAAAAAGAAATCTGAGGAGGAAGAGATCATTGTCAGCTCCGGTAGCTGGGTGTAGGGTGAGGGGAGGAGTCCAGGGATGGCTTGCTGAAAGAAGGGGCATCTGTACCTTCAAGGAGGGGAAGGATTTCAATAGATGCATGTGTCCATAGTACATTCCAAACACTGGAAATGTTCCTGTATGAATGTGCAGAGTTGGAAAGAAGCATGCAGGGAAAGATTGGGAATTATCTAGATGGCTTAGGCTGTTTATAATGGACAGCCTATGGATGATTTGGGTATGGCTCTGCCCAAAGGCAGAGTAATGGGCTAGAAGACCTCTCCAATACTTTCCTGTACCTCAGATTGTAATGATATCAAGCACCTGTCAGACATTTATTAAGCACTTAACTATGTATTTAGGGAAGCGGATAGAGCACCAGGCCTGGAGTCAGGACGAAGTAAGTTCAATTTTGCCCTCAGACACATACTAGCTCTGTGACCCTGGGCAAGTCTTTTAATCTCTGTTTGCCTCAGTGTTCTCATCTACAAAATGGGGATAATAATAGCACCTACCTGCCAGGGTTGTTATGAGGATGCAAGGAGATAATTTTAAAGTGCTTAGCATGGTGCTTGTCACATAGTAAGTACTCTATAAATGTTAGCTGTTATTATATTGCCAACACTGTACTAGGCACTGGGGACTTAACAATAATCCTACTCAGCAAGAAGAGGAAAGTGAAGGGGGAACGAAGAGCATCAAAACGTTTTCAGGTCCAACATCTCCCCTGAGACAAAGAAGATGATGATGAATGGATGGATCTAGTCCATATGGTTCCCACACAGAGGAAAGTAATCTCTGTGTTATGGAAGCTATTTCTGCAAACTAGACAGATCTGAGCCTTGCCCAGCTCTATCCGACAGGGTAGGCCCTAAATCTTCTAGGAATTACCAGGCTTAAATCAAATTTAGATATTAAAGGCTTCATTTTACATAACCTACGTTTAAAGCTTCTATTGAGTCTTCAAATTGATTTGCTGCAATGTATGGGCTTTTGGTAAGAGTCCAACTACTTAACGAGTCTGTAGTTTTAATGACAAAAGTTTATATTAACTTAAATAAAATGCCAACATTGAAAGCTTTCAATCTACTTTTCAGTGTTCCCCATGTCTTCTGTATACTCTGGTAAGATGAACTGAGTGGCTATAAAAATTGACATTCGTAGTATAAATTATTTCACATCCCAATGCCTCAATTAATTTTTAAGGCTCTATATTCTGTGTCTACTAAAGCACTCAAGCCTCTTCAGAATTCTAGAGGGTACTTGTACATTTGAGGTGTCTGTTTTTGGGGGAATGTAGGTTCTGTCCACTTACAATTATTGCTTTAAAAATCAGTGTTAAACTTGGGGTTATGTAGGTAACTACCATCTATCTGTCCTTCTATCATCTATATACTATCTATCTAGCTATCATCTATATGCTATCCATCTATTAAATCTATCAAATCTAATTTATCTATCTGTGTATCCAACATACTCTTGACAGAATAGGATGGTGTACATAGAATAAACAGAACTGCTATGCAGCCAGAAGAGCCAGAGGGGAATTAAACGTTACCACAAGTCACCACTATATGGTGATGAATCATCCAGGAGACATTCTGGCAGAGGAATCCTGGATTTGTCATTAGAGGACCTGACTTCAAATCCTAGATCTGTCCCTTTCTACCTGTGATGGGATTGGCCTTAGATGGCCTCCAAGGACCCCCCCCCCAGGTCTAGAACTCTGGTCTAGGTGCCCCTCTGAAGATGACCAACCTCATTCATCTCCTACAGTCACGGTAAGGGAATTTCATAGATTGTCCCTCAGGACAGGCATCCAGACTCAGAAAATAATAATAAGCAGGAAGAAGAGATAAAGAAGAAAAGAAAAGAACAAGCAACAATAGGAGATGGTACAAAGGCTACTCTACTACTAAAGGCAACTGATGGCACAGTGGATCCTGTGCGTTCCTGGTATCGAGAAGACCCAAGTTCTGATTCTGCCTCCGCAAGTCGTTCGACCTCTGTTTGCCTCAGTTTCCTCAATTATAAGATGGGAATAATAATAGCACCTACCTCCTAGCGTTGTTGCGAGGATGAAATGAGATGACATTTGTAAAAAGCACTTAGCAGAGTGCCGGGCACATGGTAGGTGCTATATAAATGCTTATGCTCTTCCCTTCCTCTGCTCTGGAATTATTTATTCTCCATCAGAATGGAATCAGAATGAGATAACCTGGGTATGAATTCTTGCTTTTTAAAAAAATTTTGACCAATCAATCCACAGAATATTTAGCAAGGGCCTACTGTGTGCCAGGCACTGTACTAGGTTCTGGGGAGATATACGTACAAAAAAGGAGACAATTCCTACTTGCAATGAGCTTACGTACTGATGGAGGAGATGACAGTTACAAATACAAATATAAAGGGCATAAATACAAAGTTAACAATACAAATATATACCAAGTAGTTAAATACAAGGTAGTTTGGGAGAGAGGGAGCTAGTAGTGGGGGGATCAGGCAAAGCTTCATGCTATGAGACCTTGGAAAAGTAACTTAACCTTTCTAGACCCCTGTTTCATGGTCTCTAATGGGTGGATATCTTCTTAGACCACTGGGGATTTGTTGAAGAAACTACAGCTAGGTCCCAATTAGTGCTAATAATGAGTCTACTGAAGTGAATGTTCACTACTTGATTATGTAAAATGTGGTAATTGACATCAGGCCAATGGAAATGAGTAATGCAGTTTCAAATAATGCAACCACTTCCAGGGGATTCATTAATTGTACTAATTGGGGCCTAGCTGTAATTTATTTAAAATGCTATAGAAATGGAAGCTATTACAAGTTGGGGAAGGCACAACATTAAAACCACCCTAAAGAGCTAATTCCCTTCATCCCACCCTGAAGCTTTTGTTTTAAGTTTTTAAAATATTCATCATGAATGAATTATAGGTGTGTTAGGAACATATATGTCCAATCTCATCTCCCATAATGCCAGAGCCCAAGGAGTACTTGTTTATTGGGGAAAACTCCCAGGACTTTATTTTTCCCGGGTGGCTATGTGCCTGGACACAGGGAGAAAATGTCAAGAGATGTGGACTCTGATTGGGAACAAGGGATTTCTGAAAAGGTGGAGAATTGTGTGGAGGGAGTCCTCATGGTAGCATGTTGTACAAAGATGGAGGAAGGGAAAGAGGCCAGGGAGGGAAGCAGCTGCCTGTGAAGCCAGCAGAGAATCAACTAATGAAGATGAGTAATAGAGATGATCCCCCTACTGTGACTAGAATGGCTGATTGCCAGCAGCCTGAGGATGAGATCAGAAACACTGCATGGCTGAATCTTCCCCACTCTGTCCAGCTGTGAAAGAGATCATTTCTTTATCCATAGCATGACTTTTTATGTGCATCATGTTCCCAGAATTTCCCCCACTGTTTCTCCTAAAGCCCTTGATTCTAAGTGCAGAGAGTGCTTACTCTATCTCTCTTCCTTTTCTCATTGTTTTGTTCTTAGTTAAATATCTAGTTTAATTTTGTTCTGATTTGTTCCTTAATGCATGCTCTTGGTCTGGTTGGGCTACTAGCTTGGTGCAAATGCAAATGGAATTCAGATGATTTTAGAGGTGCCCAGTTGATCTGGGTGGGCGCTTGAGCTGAATGAAGTACACTTATTTCTTATCCACCCCTACAATGAACCCTGTAGTCTACAGAGACTCCAGAGGGTAGTGAAAAGTGGTCTGCATAGGCAAAAACATTTGGGGGAGGGAGAGGGAAAATTTGGCGTGGAAGATCGTTGCCCCAACATGTAACTTTGTTTTGTTGATGGAGAGTGGTTGAGCTTATT